TTTTTTTTTTGTCTTTCATTTTTTTTTCTTTTTTAAATTAAATATTTTGTGGAATTTTAATTATAAAAAGCACAATTAAGATCTTTTATTAAGAAACTATTTATATTTCAAATTTTTTATAATTTATTAAAGATTTATTCGTTGATTGATTGATTTCAAGCGAACTAGTTTATTGTACCATGCTATTATTTTTTGAAATTATAATTGTGTCTCTCGATTATTTATAACGAATTGAAGAAAGAAGTTTTATTTTTTTATTAATTTGTTGGTGAGTAGTTATCTATTTATACTTTTTTAATTTCACTAACGTTGAAATTGTATTGTTCTTTAATTTATAGTTTATTTTTATTCTAATAAAATTTATTAAAAATGTTGTATTATCTCATTCGCGATGTGGATTGTGATGGGTCAAAAGAAAAAAAAAAATACGAGATTTTATAATATTGAGAATGAATATTGAAGGATTTGTCTAGGACCTCGAAATTTCTGGAGACGACCCTAATGTGGATTAAGGTCTTTTTTCGAACAGTCGCTTGGCTTGTAGTTTTGATTTGGTGATTATTAGAGAATCTGTAAGTGTATGAGCATAAATAATATATTAGAGCATTCACGTATTAAAGGATCATTAAGGTTAGAGACTCAGGAATTTATATAATAAATAGTGGTCAATGTTCCCTTTGCAGCGTCAGGAATTTATAATTTTCATAAGATGGAAGATATTGTTGCCTCCTTAGCGAGGCCATTTTTAGAGTTTCGAATAGGTATTTAGCTGATGTTGTGTTGTGATGGTGGATCCCTTCATACATGGTTGCACCTGCAGCCTTGCCTGATTTGGATCGGCCCTTGGATTCTTTGGAATCGTTCATCCGGACTCAACCCCCGATTTTTCAATTGATAGAAAGAGTATGTTTGGGGGTGTTAGATCGGTCTCTTGTGTACATATGACCGTCCTATTGTCTTAATCGTTCTAATTTCGACCCCTGATTTCTGAGTCTCTCAATGAGGGTGTTTTTGTCTATAAGTCCCGTTTTCAAGGGGATTGTTGTCGACCTGGAGGACGGATTGTGAGTGAGTCTCTTAGAGAGAAACTCCTCAAAGCCATCAAATCCATCTCCTAATCACCAAACTATTGTTGTTTCAGAATTGAATACTCCGCCTTCTCATTATTCTGTGTTAAAGGTGGACTACTCGATTCGTACTCTTATCGAGGACGAACTAATGAAAGGTTGAAAGAGGGTTTGAGTGTTACATCGTGCATTATAATGGGGTAAAAAGTAAGGTTTTCTATATAACAAGCAGGGGCGGAGCCACCCTGAAGGCTGGGGTGGGCTCTAGCCCGGCCCACTTAAAAAATTTAAAAGAAAAAAAAATTAGCCCATATGCAATACAATAGCCCAGGGTCATTTTGAGCCCAACCAAGAAAGCCCACCTTAGAAATTGAGAGAGAATCAAATTCGTTCAAAAGCTTAAAAAAAAAAAAATACAAGCGTGCCCAACAAGCTGATTTTCACCAATAAGCCACACACATTCATCTGCTCGAGAGACGACAGTCGACAAACAAGAAAAGATTTTTTAATTTTTCAGAAACAAGGAGATTACGAGAGACCGGTCGTCCCCGTTCTTGCGAGTCTCACGTTGCCGTCTAGCTTACCTCTTGCGTCCTCCTCGCTCTCGCATCTATCAATTTCAGGTTAAAAACGAAACGAGGGCCCTTTTTTCCCCTCACCGTCCGTCTGCTCTGTCTGGCTTCCGCTCGAGCAAATTCCGGTGGTTAGTGGTCACCTCTTTCCCCTCTCAAGTTTGTCTAATTTTCCTTTTTATGTTAGACAAAAGTCTATAATTTCATGTTATGAAATCTTGCCTTTTTTAATTTTTCCCTAATTGTCATTCTTTCAGCCTCACATGTTTAATGCTATTTGATTAACTATTATTGATTATTGATAACTATAGATTACTAATCCTTATTTTGCCTAATTTTACCCTAATTTTTACTCTCAGGTTAGGTGCTAATGCTAATGATATTTGATTACTTATTATGCATTATTAATACCTTCGTCTATTCTTCAGTTTTACGAAAATTTATAGCTCAAGATTTGATCTTTTTCATGTGGGTTCTAGTTGAAAAGACTGTTTCTATTCTTCATGTTATCTACATATCTTGCTTATTTTCTGATGGGCCCTTTTTTAATTTTATCAATTTTCTCCTACAAATCACCCTTTTTGCTGTGTGAGTCTCAGAGTTAATAATTATAGATTACTAATAATTTTGGCCGGCACTACGTTTTTACATTTTTCGCTCATCTTGTTTTGTTTTAATTTGTGGTCCATTTGATGATGTTTTAGGTTGATTTTCAAATGGATGCCCATATAAAGAAGAAGAAAACTATGCTCTCATTTTTCAAGCACAAATCGACTACGAAGGATTCTTCTCACTTTTGTACGGAAACATCAACCCAAAATGAGTTCGAAAATCAACATACGACTAAGTATCAAAGGGTGGATATTGATGTTAGCGACTATGTTTTACTTGATCCGGCTACGTGTATTCCAATATGACAATTTCCGATAAATGAACGAGATGCAATTAGGCGGGCTTATATCTTGAGGGGACCGTATCAACCTATTATGGAGTTTCCGCAAAGGCCAATCGGAGATCAATACCGGAGCTTTCAAAAACGTTGGTACGAGAAATTTCCATGGATAGAGTATTCTCCAAAGGAAGATGCGGCGTTTTGTTTTCCTTATTTCATTTTTCAAGAAAAAGAGGCCTGTTATCATGCTTTTACAATTGGTGGATTTAAAAGTTGGAAAAGAGTTAACGATGGCAAAAGATGCACATTTTTGGGTCATGTCGGAAGCCCTACGTCACCACATAATAATGTTGTGCAATCCATGGGCCTTTTAATGAATGCAAGTGGTCACATCGATAAAGTGATGAATGCACATACATCAGAGGAAGTGAAAAATAATCGTTTGAGACTTACCGCTACAATCGAAAGCATCCGTTGGCTTTGTTTGCAAGGATGTGCATTGAGAGGACATGATGAATCATCATCTTCAAAGAATCAAGGTAATCTTATTGAGCTTATAAAGCTTATGGGTAAGATGGATGTCAATGTTAAAAATATTGTTTTAGAAAATGCGCCGGGAAATGCAAAGTATACATCACCGGATATTCAAAAAGATATTTTGCATATTTTCAGTGAGAGAGTGAGGAGAAAGATTCGTGAAGAAATTGGAAGTTCAAAGTTTTGTCTCCTAGTTGATGAAGCTAAAGACATATCAGACACAGAACAAATGGCTATTGTCTTAAGGTTTGTTGATCGTGAAGGTTTCTTAAAAGAGCGATTCTTTCATATTGTGCACGTACCTAATACCACTGCCTTGACACTTAAGAATGAGGTATCTAATGTGCTTGGTCGATATGAGTTGCATCTCAAATATATTCGAGGTCAAGGATACGATGGAGCTAGCAATATGCATGGATCGTGGAATGGTTTACAAGCTCTTTTCATAAGGGACTCTCCACAAGCATATTATGTACATTGTTTCGCACATAGACTTCAGTTGGCATTAGTGGCAGCGGCTGAAAAAGAGAGCTCTATTTGGCTATTTTTTTTTTTTCAAAATTGACGTCAATTTGTAATCTCATTAAGGCAAGCCAAAACGTCATAGTGATTTACAATCCGCTCAAGCTATTGAAGTTGCAAATATGGTAGCCCTCAGTATTCGTGACACGGGTACAATTGCTTTCTTATTTTACTTTTTAATCACCATAAATTTGTGATTACATTGAATTTTTATTTAACGTTTTTATTTGTTTTATGTGAAATAGGTAAAGGACTTAACCAAACTACAACTTTGCAACTAGCTGGAAAAACACGTTGGAGTTCCCATTTGAGTCCATTTGCAGTATGATAGATATGTATCGTTCTGTGATTATCGTGCTTGAGCATATGACGGAGGAAGCATCTTCTAATTCTATACGTGGGGAAGCTACTGGTGCTTTAATTGCGATGAGATCATTTGATTTCGTATTTATCTTATTTTTTATGCACAATATTATGGCAATCACAGATTTGCTTTGTCAATCTTTGCAAGAGAAGTCTTTGGATATTTTAAGCGCAATGGATTGTGTGTCAACTACAAAATCTTTGCTTTGTAGTCTTAGAGAAGATGGCTTCGATACTCTTCTTAAATACGGGAAAATATTTTGTGAAGAAAATGACATTGAGATACCGGATATGAGTGCTTGTCATCAACCTTCTAGAGGACGTTTTTGCCAATAGAAGTTTCCCACAACAGTTGAACATCATTATCACTATGATGTATTCAATGCGACGATAGATTTTCAATTGGAAGAACTTCGTAGCAGATTTAATGATGGAGCTGTAGAACTTCTCCGGCTCAGCTCTGCATTGGATCCTCGAGATAACTTTAAGTTGTTCAATGCCGATGATATTTATATTCTTGCCGAGAAATTCTATCCTAATGATTTTAGTGGGCAAGAGCTACATTATTTGAGGAGTCAGTTAAAGCATTATAAGGTTGATGTTGTCCAGCATGAGAAGTTCCAAAATATTTCTACAATTTCTGATTTATGTCGACGGTTAGTAGAGACGGAGAAGGCAAGACATTACCATTTAGTTGACAGACTGATTCACCTCATTTTGACGCTTCCCGTTTCTACTGCAACAACCGAACGATCATTTTCAGCTATGAAACTTCTCAAAACTCCTCTTCGAAATAAGATGGAAGAAGACTTCTTGGCGAATTCTATGATTGTCTACATTGAAAGAGAGTTTACTTCGAAAATCGACACAGATTTGATAATTGATGAGTTTTACAATATGAAGAATCGGAGGGCGGATCTTAAATAGGTAATTTTTTTTTTTTTTTTTTTTTTTTTTTTTTTTTTTTTTTGAATAGTTGTAATGAACATGAATCATTTTATATGAGTTTTTTTAATTAAAATTTATTTTTTATTTTTCCTTTCAAAATTTTACCACGTGTCTTCAATCATTCTTATAATCGATCAGCCCAGGGTATTTTATTTTTCTGGCTACGCCTCTGATAACAAGTGTGTGGGAATATCTGTCAGGACGAAGTAACGAGAGAAAAAGAGATTATATAGAAGATCGATCGACTCGATCATGAATCTAGAGAAAAAAAGAGGTTGAATATGAAGGGTCGGCATTTTTGTCCTTCCGTACGGGCAGAGTAATGAGATGATGAGTGTTGGGTTAGGTTTCATCCGAACGACACCGTGAATCATTGAGGGACTCAGATGCGCGACGGAACCCTTCCTCTAGCGCAATTTTTTTACGTGTGTTTGCGCCAACTGGACCCCTCCTTTTATAAAAGGGGAGGTCTTTAAAATATTATTTCTTCAGGACACATGGTGGCTTATGATTGAATGCATGGTGACACGTATTAGGTAATTTGAGCAAGTGGCTTATCTTTTTGGACGGTGGGAGCTAGTTCAGGACGGTAACCCTTTTCATATTGGCTTAGGATCGTGCTCGGACATCGGTTGAGGATGGCCTTCCTTCTGGAAGAGATCAGCATGTATGCCTCATAGTTGGGAACGAGGTCGTCTTTATGAGATCAGCGTTTTTCACTTAATCTAAAGGGATGCTATTTGCTGCAAGGGGGCTAGATTTCCTACATATTGGTTGGCTCCCCCTTTCTAGTCGCTAATCTTTTTTAGGGCATGACAAATGAGGATGTTCACGGGTTTGGAAAGGCAGGATGCATGATTTCACAAGTGCTCAAACCAACTTATAAAATGGCTCTTACAAAACTGCTACATTTAAGTTCAAGAGGGTTCTACTCCGTGCTTTATGTGTTTGATCGGTGAGAGGGTGTGAAATATCTTTAGTTGGCTCCAGTGAAAATTATCATTCACTTCGGAATATGATTTCCTTGAAAAGAATAGGGAAAGACGAGAGAGACATCTGGATACAATCAATAATCAGTAACCAGTAGCATAACTAATTATTTACGAAACACGAAGAAATAATTCTTCAAACCGAACATTAGTTTGATCTGGCTTTCTAGTTTACAAAAACATGCGGATCAACAAAAACACAACACAAGGTTTTAAATAGTGAAAAATAACTTCTTTTTATTCTGTTTCTTTTTTTCCCCTCAAATGAAAACATTCACAAGAATTGTCAATAATCAACATCCAGGGAAACACAATCAGTAGATTACAAGTTAA